TGTAGATGACAAGAATGTTTTTATATGCATGTCAGCGTCACTGTGATGATGCTCCATGTTTTTCATTTATTCGATGTCTGGCGCTCGCCATCTGATAAGAGCGCGCGCCAGGAGACTGTCTGGAAATACGACCGCAGGAGACTGCACAAGTAAGGTAAAATCCATGCCGCACAAGTAAGCCGTCTTTTGAGACGCATTTGGTATATTCCACTCGATACACTCGGTTGTATATGTCTGCCCAGAGTTCCAGTCAACATAATAACACTACACTGGGGGCTGTGCCGAGAACCCCAGCTTTGGTGGCTGCAACTCGTCTACTCGAGACTGCTATCAACGAGGAGTCTGGTGGTTCTTTCTTTGGTAAACTTGGTCCTCTCGGGGTCGCCCTCTGTGATGCCTACAAGGATCACGAAACTGTCGTGAGTTATATAGCGCAGGATCCGCTACCCGCTGTTCAGGGTCACTTCGAGGCCTTCATCACAGAACTCCACCAATTATTGGCCGAGGAACTGTGCTATCCCTACCCCTTGGAAGGCGGAGGGGCCCCTGAAGATATCTGGTGGCTCTTGGTGGCTCTAAAATGGTGTGTGGTCTTCACGGTGGTGGAACTCTCCGGTAAAACTATAAAAGGCAGGAAGGCTCTCAGAGACTCACTGGTGGTCACTGTTGACGCCTATCGCAGGTACGTCGGTTCTCTGGCTACGGGCTTTGCCCGTAGCTTCTCCAAACAAGGCCCTCGAGAGGAGCCGGTCGCTACTGGTCCCTATCTGCCTCCTGTACCGAGTCCAGTACAGGCTGGCCTGGTGGGTTACCCGGGATTTGCTAAGGTACCCGATAGCGCTGCTCCAATGGTGAAGGTTTCTATCCCTCCCGAGCAACCGGGGAATGCGGCCGGTGTGCAGCATGGTACGGCTAATGATGCCTCACTCCTGTCCGGACACACGTCTGGTACGGAATATGTTTCGGCTCTGGGCGCACCGATCGGCGGATCCCGTGATGAACTCTTCTTTAAAGGGCATCGTAGAGCGAAGCAATTGGCTGATGTATCAGGCATCGAGCCATTTGATGGTAGCGGGAACGACTTTATCCTGTT